ACTACCTCGGCACACATCCCAGGACAGCCTTTGGAGAAGCTGGTTGATATAAAACCCTGAGATTTACACCGGTTCACTATCTGATCGCTGACTCAGATTCTCCCATTTGCCACATCCAAGATGGCGGCGACTTTGACGTATGATTCAGCCCTCAGTGCGGCGTCTATGTGTACATGTCTGTGCACCATTCTGTTCAGTTTTTATTTTTTTATTCAGTCATTAATCGCTGTTACACTTTCCTGTGTCTTTTTGGATGAAACAACATTACAGACAGAATCATTTAGAGACAATTCCTTTAACATACGAGTCTATTGAGAGTCTTTTGACTCAAAGAAATGTTAAATAGCTTTCTTACTAAAATGATATTATCCTTTAATGTGTGATACTCAGGAAAAACCTGCTAACCTGAGTTATAAAGTGTAAATGCTCCGTGGAAGTGGTTAACAGGGAGTTTTTGTTTGTGAAAGCCTACTTTATTATTTTGGATCTCAGATACAAACACGGCAAGTCCAGGTCTCTATCTGTCTGATGATCTGACCAGCGTGAGATGTGGAGACATAGAGCAGAAGCTTCCTGAAAACCCAGAGAGAAACTCTACATATCCTTCTGTGTTTGGCTCTGAGGGCTTCAGCTCAGGGAGACACAGCTGGGAGGTGGAGGTGGGAGATCATCCACGCTGGAATGTGGGTTTGGTTAAAGAGTCAGTTAACAGGAAGGGAAAGCGATCTGCTTCACCAGAAGATGGAGTTTGGTGTTTATTGCATCGTGATGGAAAATATGCCGATGGTGCTGGTGAGACTGTGACAGTGAAGAAGAGTCTCCAGAGGATCAGAGTCCAGCTGGACTATGACATGGGGGAGGTGTCCTTCTACAACTCTGAAGACATGACTCACATCTACACTCACAGAGACACTTTCACTGAGAAACTCTTCCCTTATTTCTGCGTTTACCCAGCAGGAAACGCTAAAACATCCAACATCAAAATCTGTCAGAATTTGGATGATAATGACCTTTTCAAAGATTGGTGAAGTCATTTATTGGGAAATATGATTTTTTTCTATAGTTAGATAAAGAATAATCAAAATACTAATACTACATCATAAATGTGATTTTTTAGAGAAACATTTAAATGAGTGATTATTGATATGAATCCTTTCCATGATAAAAAAAAAAACGCTTTCCTTCCTCATGAACCTGTTTTTACTCACCAGGTGTGGCTGCAGAAGTAACAGCATTTTCTTTGAAGAGTTTCTGAAGCTGTTCTTTACGTTTTCTGTAAGTTTCTGTTTTATTACACAAAGGAAAATAACAGTGATAGACATAAATAAGTTTAAAAGAAAGGTGTCACTGACAGAGGATCAAAAACTTTTGGTTCAGTAAATCAAATGATGTCAAATGATTGATGATCAAATGATTATTTCATGTTTGTATACAGATCATATGAGGACAAGAATTGTTATTTGTTCATATTTTGTATCCATGATTGAAAATTAACTGGTAAAGATGTGATAAACAAGTTATTTTTATATTAGAGAAGAACGGTAATAGTTTCAGGTGGAGTGCTTCTTAAAAAGGTATGTTCAATTTTGTTTTCCAAGTTAATAACAACAGTGATTAATCTAATGAAGAGTAAACTTCCCTTTGTAAATAAATTCTTCATCACACATTCTGTACTGACTGAGTTTGTTTCAGAGCCAATTTTCTTTTTTTATACAGAGAATATATGTTTAAACAAAAGTTCACCAACTGCTGAGGTAAAGAGTGGCTCTAAAGTCTCATATTATATGGCTTTACTCAATGAGCATCAACCTTTAAAGTTCAGGATAAACCACAAATTATGCCCAAATGTACCATTTTTAAAAAATTACGCTAAAAATGTCCTGGAGGAAACGCTGCTCTTATTGTGAAAGGACGTCCGGAAGCAGGTGGCTAGTCGCGGCTAAGTGCAGGATGAAGCTGTGAGGTAAACAGCGGCCCGTGCTGCATGTAAGTCTGGTTTAAGGAGTTTTTAACTCTCAAAAGACTTCATTCACACGGTGCTTTGTCGTGTGCTGCCATTATGTGATTTCTATGTGGGATAATTCCAGAATATCACAGCACAGTTTGCTAACAGCTAATCACCGGAGCTATGCTAGCCGAAGAAAACGTAAACAAACAAACGTCACTTTCGCCTTGAGCCTATTGGTCCGTTGCAGTGAAACGTCAGAGCGTCCGCCATCTTGGATTTGGCAGAACTGCCCGTAAACTAATAAAAGGAAACGGCCTGAATTCCATAAAGCGCCTTTTTACAAAGTGCTTCAAGTGAATGAACCTTATTCACCATCTCACACACACACTAATATATCTGGGAAGCAAATTGGCACCAAAAAACCGTCTGTAACTTTTAAAATGATGATTCTAAATGTTTCCTCCTGATGTTTAGGATATAAAGGAACACCAAACCAGCGTCTGTAGTTTTAATGCTGAGAGTTTTCAGCTACTAATGTTTGTAACTCTGTTACTGTAATATAAATATTGTAATATTGAAATTTAACATGTAATCTGTGTCCATAATAACCAGATCCTGAAAAGTAGATGTGACTTCAGGGTTTTCTGGATAAAGAGCAGAAACATTTACATTTAATTGATTTTGAGTTTTTTAATTAAATTAAATTCACATTTATAATACACACACACACACACACACACACACACACACACACTCATATACACACACACATATATATATACACACATATACACACACAGCTAAACTATTCAACAAAAAGTAAGGTTCTAAAAAGTATAAGACAATCAGTAATCAACATAGATTATGTTATAGGATACTATGCTAAAAATGAGTAATTTTAGCCATATTCTAACATTCCTTTTAGAACTGCACTTTTGTGTTAAAGTCTCTGGCTGTGTTCACAGACTCTCTTTTCTCTCTTTTCCTTTTCTATCCTTTTCTTTCTCAGTTGCATTAGATCCAGAGATGTATAAAGTACTGGAGTAGAGGAGTTGAGTAGAAGTACAAGTGCTAAATAAAAAATGGACTTGAGTAAAAGTAGAAGTCTTCTTTCAACACCAGACTTAAGTGGAAGTACGGAAGTACTCCATTTTTTTGTACTTAAGTATTGCAGTTAGAAGTATTACTGTGTATATTAAAAAAAGGCAGTAAAAGGTTTGATAGATATTTAAAACGTGTGAAAGGCCATACAGCTGTTTACAAAAAACAGAAAACTAAACACAAATAAAACTATCTACAGCTCTGGCTCTGACTCTATGACTGGGGATGATTCATTACGTTTACATATCAGTAACCAGTAACGATTCAGCCCGGGAAAGTAAAAGTAAAAGAATTAAATTAATCAAAAATATGTAGTGGAGTCAAAGTAAAAGTAGGTAAAAAAATATATACTCCAATAAAGTACAGATACTGCATTTTGGTACTTAAGTACAGTACTTAAGTAGTTCTACGTCGTTACTGTACATCTCTGCCAATGAGCCAGTTAAACTATCGTTTTGAGTCAATTTTTTCTTTGTCTGTGATGGATAGAATAAAAAAAACAGGACTTTCAGATAACAACATTTCTCTGGGATAGTGTTTCATAACAAACATACTTAAATCAGCAGAAGAAGCCTGAAGGTGTCATCTCTCAGTAGGATATTAAATGTGTTTTTTTTCCTCAATAAGTCTAATCTAAAGCTGGATTCATTTTTTCAACATTTATTATTTTACAGATGTGTACCGATGTGTAACATCTGGTCCGTTTGTTTGTAGCCTAGCCCAGCTAGCGACTGCTGTCAATGGGGCAGCAGCAACCAGGGAAAGACCACCTGACAGACTGGAAAGACGGCTGACAGGAAGCAAAGACCCCAAAGGGGCTGTCCAGGGCTATCGATCCATGGTAGTGTTAGGCCGGTTCTTTAGTCTGAAGCCTGAGAAGAAACCAGAGTAGATCAAGAGTACAGTTATGAAATGTATAGATCACGAGCAGAGTAAATCAGCTGGGCTGTCACAGACAAAAACTCCCTGAGGATCTCAGTTAGCAAAGAGCCTCGATTTCCTGGTGTGATGGACAGTTTTCCTCTGGGCCTCCAACAGGAGGACGAGTGTTATTGGCCAGTTAGCTCTGACATGAACAGGCCAGGTCCTAATTCATGCAGGTTTAGGTGGAATGTGATACGAAAGTGTGAATGTTGACCTTAAAGACGAGTATCTACTGTAACAGAGAGAGGAGGAGGTAACAGCCAGAGAGTTTAACCCAAAAGTCTAATTATAAAGGGAATAATATGAATCTAAAAAGGAAAGAGACAATCAGTCATTTACATGGATTACGTTATGATATACAGTACAGACCAAAAGTTTGGACACACCTCATTCAAAGAGTTTTCTTTATTTTCATGACTATGAAAATGGTAGATTCACACTGAACACATCAAAACTATGAATTAACACATGTGGAATTATATACTTAACAAAAAAGTCTGAAACAACTGAAAATATGTCTCATATTCTAGGTTCTTCAGAATCGCCATCTTTTGCTTTGATTACTGCTTCTCACACTCTTGGCTTCTCTTAACTCGTTGACTGCCAGAGTTTTTTGAGCATTTTGACTGATTTTTGAAGAGCCACAGAATAGTTTGTGCTATGACTATGTAAACACCGAACACACCAAAAGAAAGAGTAGATTCTCTTCTTTCATCAGGAAAAAAAATTTGTTTCTACCTTATTCCGTTCTTCCTGGACTTGCGTCTCACCGGCGACATTTTCTCTCATAGCGAACCGTTACCTTTTTCTTATTTGCCTACAGTCTATGCTCATCTCCCATCAAAAGTGGCACTGCCCCCTAGAGGGTCAATTTGTTACTACATACTCTGTCTAGAAGCCGATATTTACGGACAAGCTTTAGCAGATCGTCCCCCAGCCACTCTCGTTGAAAAACATAAAAGACGTCTATAGACGTCTTTGGCAGCCAATGAGTTAATGAGCTTCAAGAGGTCGTCCCCTGAAATGGTCTTCCAACATTCTCGAAGGAGTTCCCAGAGATGTTTAGCACTTGTTGGCCCTTTTGCCTTCACTCTGCGGTCCAGCTCACCCCAAAGCTTCTCAAACGGGTTCAGGTCCGGTGATTGTGGAGGCCAGGTCATCTGGCCGGCACCCTATAACTCTGCTTCTGTCAGGTGGCTGGGGTTTAGGGAGGACTCAGGCGCAGAGAGGTGGTTAGATCCAAAAAGGTTTATTGAACAAAAATCGCACTCAACGAGTGGAGACAAAGTACCAAAATAATAAACAAGACTATGAACAAAGTATCAAAATAGAATCACTCTAATGAGGAAGACAAAGCTGTGAACAAAGTATCAAAACAATAAACAAGACTATGGGCAAGGAACAAAGTAACAAAGAAATACTCACTAGGAATGATCATCTAGGAGGAAAACAGAAAAGCACTCAATAGAGGCAAAAACGCAGGAGGCAAGGTTTAACTATGACAAGGAGTAACTGTGGTCGAGAGGCACTGTGGTCATGAAATGCAATACACCGGCACGGGACAAGGG